ATCTGAAACATTTAAGTGTGACAAACATGCAAAAAAATAAGAAATCAGGAAGGGGCAAACACTTTTTCACACAACTGTATGTGGAAGGGTCGAGCCCAAGGATTTACAGTAAGGGTTAGACGTGTAAAAAACCCAAACATTCCTCGCTTCCAGCTTCTAAATTTCGAAGATTTGCTGGTTTTCTTTGTCTTGTGAGATACAAAACTGAATATCTTTAGGTTTTTTGAGTGTTGGTCGGACAAAACAAGATATTTGATGAAGGCTTTAAGATATTGTGACAGGTATTTTGACTATTTTCTGACATTTATGAGACCAAACAATAAATTTACTGAACAAAAAATAGATGGTTAAAGCCTTGAGACGAACTGACTGAACGCCAAGCATGTCTGATTATTTTTCGTCATTTCCTTTCAAAATAAACCAATGTGATCGGGTCCAAACCAATCGAACACGGGATTCAAATAGTGGTCACATGCTTTTTGGGACCAACCATCCACATCCACTAAGAGGTTTAGCCAACCCTCTGCAACCCCCTTGTCAGGTTAATGTGAACTTAGGTTCTTTGAGGCATTTGAAAACAACCAATAATCTCGTAATCGAGTCTCGAAAGACTTTAAACTATGACTCGTCAACACATTCTCACTCCCTACTCATCAAATACCGACGCTTGGTCAGTGGCCCTATGCTTCAAACTATGATGCTCTAGGTACCCCTCTAGCATCACGGACGGCGTGTCAAGTTTCTGCTCGTACATGCATTAAAAAAAGAAATTCCATGTTCATAGGAAACATACAGTTTCTGTTTGTTACAGTATATACAGACTATGTTCAAAGTAAATTTCCAATGTAGGTTTTATTACACAACAAAATGACGGTTAGATTTAGGAAAAGATCATTGTATGACTTTAAATATGTGCATTTTTTACGTAAAACAAGTACGCTTGTCACGGAACTGGTGCAAGTTAAGTATGACGTTATGTGACAGAAGTAAGGTAAAATATTTTATTATTACGTTGACTTGGTTTCACACGGGACACACACAGCGGTCACCTGGCTGAAAGTCCTGTGTTTGTTTGACCCGTCCATCATACACAGTCTTTCTCTCTGTTCATACTACATCAGTTGGTCTGATGGGTTTACATTGTAGTTAGTTGAAAGCCTGGCGCGTCTCATACAGACTCTAAAGGGACCCTCAGTAGCTCGGTATCAGAGGCCTCAGGGGCACTGACCAAGCGGCGAGTTGGATTGGTGGGTGTTCAACGCAGAGTCTGACATGTAAAGTGGCCATGACAAATGTTGCGCTTGATGGTATATCTAAAAATCACTCACATCTCTATTATAACCATAGAATTTAGCCAGACTTCAGTATCTGGTTTCTCTGCCACCCACACTGATATTCATAGGGGCTGATTCCCACACAACCTCGTGGTTCGTCTTCACTTGTGGAGGCGGGCAGACTCCAAAACGGGACAGGAATGAGAGGAACCACACAGAAAACCAGCAATGGGGAAATCTGTTTGCTTTGAGTTAGTCCAAAATACTTGCACGACCGCCATGATGCATTTGTGCTCTTGTTGTGATATAAGCTCCTCTGGTTCACAGGAGTCTGACAGACCAAATTTAAACCGTGGTGTCCCACAATGGAAAGCAAACATCTACCGGTTGGCCAAAGGAGAATCCCACCTACTGTACAAAGGGGAGACTCAGGCTTACATGGCCGCTGGCAGACGGCTGTTTGTTTGTATATATGTTGTTTGTATATAATGATCTACTTTGAAGATCTTATAGTGTGACTTCAACCAAAACATACTTTTAAGCAACCACTTTCCAGGCACAGCCACTTACCATATTAGACATTACTGCATCACCTTTTTGATATAATCTCTCTGCCATGTGCGTCTCCTGTTGCCTTTTTCATGTCACTATGATGCACAAAGTGTTCGTTGTAGAATTGTTTTGACACAAGCACAAGACTTTTCTCTTCATGTCATGTCACCCGTGCCCATCAAAATATCTGTGCGGGAGGGTAAAAGCTCAGAGGGTTATCGGCAAGGTCCTTGCACGTGGTTCCCGTCACTGTTTTTTGGGCCTTGGTGAGGTTTGGACCGTATCTTTTGTTGTAACTGAGCTAGGATTGGGTCAATACTGTGCTGTGTAGGTCAATTGTGGCGACACACTGGCGCCAATTCGACAAACTAGAAGACATGGCATCAGTGGTTCTACTCAATCACCAGGTACAACACTTACTTGACACAGCCTACTGTTTGCTAACTAGCAGTTGTGTACTGGCCATCTGGCCTACAGTTACAAATCCCAGTTGGCCACCGCATCAGTGGGCAGGTTTTTTACCTGTCTGTCTCCTTTTATGCCCATTCAAGGGCTAAACCGTGCACATTTGGAATCAACCCTCACCCATGATTGGCTGTGGTTTCAGAGCCTGCAGAGGACACGCCCCCCAGCATTTCTAAGCAGAGATTTTTTTTTTACGATTTTGAAACCTAATTTTATATACTACCAATTTTTCAATCATTCCAATTTAGCTGGGTGATTAATAACAGAGTTATTTTTGTGGTGTGACAAACTCAGAAAACATTTATTTTTGCTTCACCAGGTAGTTTAAGTAAGCACAATCCACAAATCTTTTTTTTAATGGGTCACACCCCCAGGCTTGTGCTCCATCTGGTAGCATTTACTGAAGTGTTCGTAGTAAACAAACCAACTTAATTGTAGGAAGGGGAGGGAAGACCAGAGACTACAAAACTGTGTGTATCTCCAGGCTTGTATTCTGATCACTTTTTCCAGTTTTTTACTTGATGGACATTTTTTTCTTCATCTAACCATCAAATGATATGCAGTAAAAAATAAATAGTGCTATAGAAAGCAAACGCATAATAAAACATTTGTATGTTAATCAGGAGTCTGCTAAGGGAAATTCACGTACCATTTGCTCAGCATTTGCCCAGTTGCTCTTTGATGAGGATGTTATATAGTAAGAAAGAAAAACTTTTCAAAATCAGTTTGGCAACTGTTCTAGTCAAAACTAGTAAATATCCGGCCTGGGTGTTTTCTCTACACCCTAACTACCTGCAAGGTTGTTTGAAGTAGTTTTTTGAAGATATTTTACACAGAAAGGCTAAAAAGAAAATGCTAGCGGTTTCGACCAAATACCTGCAAAAACGAATGATATTTCAATCCGACGTGCTTTTGTGTTTAGTGCTAATTAGCACATTAGCATGCTAACATGCTAAAACTAATAGTATACCCGCTTAACATCAGCCTGTTAGTATTGTGAGCATGTTAGCATGCTTGCATTAGCATTGTAAGTACAGCCTGTTTTATTAAATATGACAAATTAAAAAAAATATATGATAATTTGGCAGAGCTGTTCAACACTGTAAGACGCT